GTATGATCAGCAAACAAAGGTCCCCAAAACTTTACTCCAAACACTACTTTGAGTAGGCAACTTTTCTCCAGTCATAATAATTTGTGGTGCTCATCTTCTGGCACTATATAAAAAAATGTCCACTGGTATTCATAAAATTCTCACTGGCCAATTTTCAGAAGCATATTGTCATGTCCTTCTTCCTATTTTGTCTTAGTCTTGAAGTTCCACTGAAATCTGTCCACCATGGGTGACCTTCCTGGTAATGGAAATACTGGTGGCATAGCTCCCAGCATCACAGCAACATAAAAGCTACCACAGCCTGACAAATTGACAGATGAGTGGTAGACCAGGGCTCCTTGGCTGCACTCCTAGGGTGAGATAATTCTAAGGAAGAGGTAAAAACAATCAAACATCCACTCAAATGTTATTTTCATTGATTATGATTTTTTATTAACTGTCCCATGCAATTTACTATTAACTCAAATTAATATTATAGTCTTCTTTATCATATGACATGAGAGTGAATACAAATTTGTCTTTGGACTGTAATAATTAGTTTCCATCAGATTATTCTTTAGAAAGACTGTGATAATCAGCAATTAAACATTACTATACTCATAGGAGTGGTTCTAATTAGTTTTTTCTTAATAAAAGCAAATAGTCACTTTGTTCATATTTTAAAGTCTTAATTAGCTTATTCAAAGCAATCAAAAGGGAATTTTAAACTAGAAACTTGCCATAACTTGAAGACTAAAGATGTTTTTCAACCTTTATGCACACATTAAAAAAAAAAAAAAAGAATCTCTGAGTTTTCGATTAATCAGAAAATTATCTAAGTGTACAATTCAAAAGTAATGATTTTTATGCAGTCCGGACTGGAGAAAGAAGGATTCTGAAATTGAGAAAAATTTTCTGACTATTTTACATAATTAAGAGTCCATAAAAAAAATGTCTGTGAAAAATAAAACAATACACAAACAAAACAATGTTCCATTTATGTCTCATTTGGAATTAATGGCAGTAAAAGTACCTACAGTGTTTTAAAAAATAACTAAGCTAGACATTGCTGGCAGGAGGCCCATGAGGTAAAATATTAAAGAGAAAGCCCATCCAATGTTACAACAGATGGACAAATGAGTAATTTCATTCACTTATCTCCCCTTACCTGAATTAGACTTCTTTTCTGTTTTGGCTATTAAAATCCTTTTAAACCCTCTAAGTTCTCATGATACTTTGTTTTACTATCCCAAACCTTCTGTGAAGTCCTCTAATCTTTCTCATACAATCTAACTTCTAATTTTAGGCTGTTCTCTCACCTGCTAGTTCCACATGCATCATCTTGGCCTGTGTAACCAGGCCCTGGGTCATTGATGCAGCTGACTATACCTTATCGTTCTACTAATCAAGCCCTCTTCAAGGCCCACAATGATGCCGAACACCATCACGGGGAGAGTGCTCAAACTAGTTGTCTTTGAATTGACTCCAATTCATGGCAACATCATATGTTTCAGAGTAGAACAATATTCCATACAGTTTTCAATGACTGTGGTCTTTCAGAGGTAGATCACTCTCGTCTGAGGTGCCTCTAGATTAATTAAAACCATCAACTGAGCATAAGAATTTGCACCATCCAGGAACTCTGGAGAGTGCTTAAGGGCTCTGCATTTCCTTAAAATGATGCCTCAACTACTTACTAGCTGTATGAACTTGGACAAGTTACTTAAACTTTCTGAAGCAGAGTATACTCAACTATAAAATGGGGACAATAACACCATCAGTCTCCCAAGTTGTGGGAAGATTAAGTGAAGTAATTCACATCAGGGGTTTAGCAGAGCATCTAGAAGCCAGGAAGCCCTCAGTAAAGGACAGCCTACTGCTGCTCCTGCTGACTGCTTGTGCATAATTTTGAGTCTTCTATCATGTCCAGAGGCAAGATGTAGTTTTTAATCTGAAGTTGAGAAGTCACATAAATCATATCTGCAGTTGTATGAAGATTGTCTCCCCTTATGTGGGGAATATCTTGAATTACATTGATTTTTTTTTTTCTATTTATTCTTTAACAACTTTAGACTTAGGGCATGTTGTACAATCTAAGGTTTTCTAAGTAACTAATGAGATTTTTTTTTTCACTCATCTCAGATTCAATGAAATACAGTGGTAATTTTGCTGATTCTTTTGAAGGAAGGGATTTTAAAGAGAATTTCAATACTCAGAAGCCTATGTATCTCTTCTTTATTGTTCTTTTTACTTTTAATTCCTCTCCATGAATATCAGCTTCAGAGTGCCACAATAATTATCATTCGCATTCCTTATTTTATCATGTGCATGAATTGTAAGCCATTTGATACTACTTCAGATTGATAACACTTCAAATCGATATCTGGTACTCTGAGAGCAGAGTCCTTGGTGGTGCAAATAGTAAACTCCCTCAGCTACTAACCAAAAGGCTGGAGGTCTGAGTCCATGCAGTGATGCTTAAAATAAAGTCTTGGCAATATACTTCTGAAACATCAGCCATTGAAAATCCTATGGAGTACAGTTCTACTATGACAAACATAGGGTCACCATGAGTAGGAATCAACTTGATGGCAACAATTTACAGTTACCTTGAGTGCAAAAAGTTCTGGTTATCAGGCAGTCAGAAATAAAAGACCTATTTGGTGGCACTTATGATAGCCTTCATGATTCTGCTATATGGTTTAAGTGGCTTTTATGGGCTTTGCTGTTGTCCCTGCACAATTACTAATAAAAACCAAAAACCAAAACCAAACTCACTGCCTTTGAGTCAATTCAACTCATAGTAACCCCTCTTTGGGTTTCCAAGGAGGTATCTCTACAGAAGTAGATTGACCAATCTTTCTTCCAAGGAGTGGCTGGTGGGTTTGAACCATCAGCCTTCTGGTTAGCAGTCAAAATGTCTTAGGCACTATGCCACCAGAGCTCCCAATTACTAATAGGGCCTCATTTATCTCTCACTAGTATTCTGATTTAAATAATAAATTATATGGTTACTCCAAATTGTTTAAAAACTAAAATAGATCTGAAGCCTCTTGGCTTTAATGCCTTACAGTTTAATTTTGTTTTTACTATATATAAATCTGGGCCTCTAGTCAATCAGTCATTTGTTTGGTTCACATTCATTCATTCATTTTTTCCAGACACTCATCATACATTGAAAAGGACAGTTCACAATTTACAATATGGTAGAGAAGATAGATGAGAATTAAATAACTCCATACCAAAAATGTCATAACTGCACAGGACTGGTATAAGGGACTATGACAGCCTATATAATGTAGTAGCATGTGTGTACATGGGGTAGAGAAGAAAGGAAACAGAATTACACCTGCACTGTTTTTTCACTCCAGGATGATGTCGCTCCAGTCTAACACAGCTCTCAATATATCATTGCGATGCATCCTAGTAAAGTAAGTAGCAATGCTCAGAAGCCTGTATCTTTTCTATATTGTTCTTTGCTTTTTATTCTACTCCATGAATCTCAGTTACAGAGTGCCACCATCATAATTCTTTGCATTCCTTATTTCACCATGTAAATGAATTGTAACTCTACAAGAGCCACAAACTCATCTACACCGAGACCGGAACTAGATTGTGCCCACCTGCCACCACTGACAGTCTGACTGGGGTGAAAATACTTAGTCCTGGACAGAATGGGAGAAAAATATGGAGCAGAGTTCAAACTCTTATTAAAAGACATTTTTAGTTCCTGTTGTTTTCTCATAGTAACTGTTTCTTTTCTGATATTTGTAAAGTAGCAACCAAAATAACAATTTGGTATTAGCAATCTTTGAGATGATGAATAAGCATAAAGGCTCTTAGAGGGACTCCACCAACTATGCTTATGGAGAGATTCTCAGAAAGAACTGTGAGGGATCAGAGAGCCAGTACAGGGGAAAGGTTGCTTGTGAAAGGGATTTTCAGTTATTAACAAAACACCAGGTATGTAAATTCACTTCCAAGATTCCACACGATTAATTGGTCTGCTTTCCATTTATCTTTTGCCTGAGGAGTGCATTTCCAATACAGATAGGCCCTTCTGAAGACAGGAAATTAAATAATAACTACGTAAGTATACAGGACTATGATCCATCCCTTCCAAAAATAAAAGAAAAAAGAAAAAGACAAAGAAGAAGAACAATGGACTGGTCCATGATATCTGCATAAAGAATTTATAAACAGTGATGCTACAACTTCATCCACCTGAAGTGGATAATATAATATTTTATCCTTTTCTTTCTACTGTGTGTGTGGTTTTATAGCTACTTGTGTTATTTGTGTCTTTATTTACTATGAATGCTCCAAGTGTGTGGGACCCATTGTTTTTGCCGACTTCTACTTGCAGTGCATACAGGAGGGATTCACTTAATATATGGTGGATGACATGCAAATGTCAGAAACACTCAAACATTCTTTAAAAAAATTATCTTTTGCCATCTTTTGGTTTAATTCCCTCCTTGTTGCTCCTCCATTTCTATCTCAATTAATTCATTAATAAGCACAAAGATCCTATATATCACCTTTTTTTAAATTTTTTTATCTAGGCTTACTTATAAGATAACACCAATATTTAATGATCCTAGTCATTTACTAGGAGCTCTGGTAGCATAGTGGCTAAAGCACTTGACTGCTAACAAGAAGGCTGGCGGTTCAAACCCACCAGCCACTCCTCAGAAGGAAGGTTGGGCAATCCTACTTCCGTAGTGATACTGCCTCAGAAACCCAAGGAGGGGTCGCTATGAGTTGGGGCCGACTCGACGGCACATAACAACAACAACAACAACAAAGTCATTTACTATCTCTGATCTGGAGCAAATCAAGCTTTATGTGACCAGCTGTCATTATTGCTTTCTAATCTGCAAAATGGGAACAATAAACCTATTTCAGAGAACTGTTATAAGAATGAAACAAGGATTACATGCCAAAGTCAACAAAAACTTGTTGATTTAACAAGTTGTGTATATTCAGTTCAAGTCTGTGTCTTGGGTGATTTGACTGACCTATGAATGATGCGTTGGCTCTGCAGGTAGTCCAGGGCCATGGCAAGCTCACAGATGAAGAGCTTCACAGTGTCTTCCTGGAAGCGAACATTCTGCTGCAGGTGATAACGCAGGTCGCCACCCAGCAAGAGGTCTACCACCATGAACATGTCTTCCTCATCTTGGAAGGAATACCTGGAATACCATTAGAAAAGAAAACATATTAAATCCTACAGCATCCCAGAGGCATAAGATCTTAAGAATCAGAGTAGGAAGTTTTTGAGTTAAAAGCTCAGGCTTTGGGAGTAAATGTTCTCATACTAGGCCTTTATTTATATATATTTTTTAATGTGTAAAGTGGGAATAATAAGAACACTTACCACACTTGGTCAAGGTAAATAATAAATAAGGTAAGTGCCATGCCTGACATATAAAACATACTCATTAACTGTCCTTGGAAGGAAGATTGGGCAATCTACTTCCTTAGTGGTATTGCCTTGGAAACCCAAGGAAGGGTCTCTATGAGTCGGATCCAATTCGACGGCACTGAGTTTGGTTTTTTTGGTTTGGTATGTATTGCTGAAAGTCAGAGAATTAAGGAGAATTCCATTTATCCGTTTATTATCAACAATCATATCCTAACCACAGTTTTGTAGGAGACCCATAAAATATGAGCTATGAAACTCCTTGAACCATTACCATGCCTATTTTTCCCTACTAACAACTTCATTGCCCAGCAACATTATAGCAAACTGTACCCACATGACCGATAAGAAAATGATATATGAAGGGCAATAAAGAATTAAGTACACAGTACAAGGAAGTAATTTACTTAGCCTGAGAGATGGGAAGGTAAGAGAAAACTTCTCAACAACTTGAGCTAAATTTTGAAGGATAGTGATAACAATAACAATAGCAACTAACATCCCTTCCATTACCTGTTTATCAGTTTATTGTACTGTGGTGGCTTGTATGTTGCTATGATGGTGGATGCTATGTCACTAATATTTCAGACATGAGCAGTGTCTCCCATGGTGCACAGGTTTCAGCAGAGCTTCAAAACAAAGACAAAGTAGGAAGAAAAGCCCAGCAATCTATTTCTGAATGTTAGCCAATGAAAACTATATGGATCACAACATATTACCAACCAATATAGTGATGAAGGAGCTCTGGTAGCATAGTGCCTAAGACATGTGACTGCTAACCAGAAGGTTGGCAGTTCAAACCCACCAGCCACTGCTCAGAAGGAAGGTTGGGCAATCTACTTCTGTAGAGATACCACCTCAGAAACCCAAGGAGGGGTTGCTATGAGTCAGATCCGACTCGACAGCAGTGAGTTTGGTTTTAGTTTAATAGTGATGACAGATGAACCGCTTGGTTAGAAGGCACTCAAGATAAACAGTGGTTGCAACAATGTACTTGGGCATACCAACAATTGTAAAGATGGTGCAGGAGTGGGCAATGTTCCCTTCTGTTGTACATGGGGTAACCATGCGCCAGAGTCAATTCAATGCAACTAATAACAATACTCCTTGATGTATCTCTTGGGTGACTTTTATGGGGCAGACTCTGAAGCACCTTACAGGTATTATCCCAGTTGGTCCCACAACACTCCTCTTATGATCCCATTTTATAAATGAGAAAATCAAGGCTCAGGGAAATTTAAGTAACTTGAGCAATGTCACAAATCTAATAAATGGTGGAGCAGAAGGATTCTTCAAATACAAAAGTAATATTTGAAAGAGAAATATAGCAAGAGAAAACACATGGTTGAGTGAAGCAGGAAAAAAGAAAATAGCTTGGATTTGTTGAAATGACAGGCATGATTTGGAACCTTGGGCTTGGTGAACACAAAAGCCAAGTCCAATGAGAAGGAGTTTGTTCATAGTCTGTAGGCATTTGAAAAACATTGAAGGCTCTTAAGCTGGAGATGTTATCTGACAAATGGACATAGGCATACTGACAATCATGAATATGGAGCTGAAGAAGCAGCATTTCAATCTGCTGTACATGGGGTCATCATGAATCAGAGCTGACTCCACCACAACTAGCAACAAGAAACAACAATTAGACTTGGGCTTCACAACTGAAGGAGGTGGGGCTGAGGTACTGAAAGAGGATGTGAGATACAGGACAGGAGAACCTGCCTCTGCTATATGCAAAGAGTCTCTTCAGAAATACAGTCCTCAGCTATGATTTGTTTTGTTTCACTAAAAGCACAGACAGGATTTCTAGTCACATGAAAGCTCTCCGTACTAACACTGTTTTGATATGTTTCTTTAGGTATAATGTCACTGAGATCACATTTTGAAGTTTTTTTGAATCAAAGAATTAAATGCCTGCAAGCAGTGTTCAGGGATGCAAACTGATACCTAATGGGAAATTATTTGCTCAGGAAATAAATGTAGAATATCAATGATGAGAGAAAATACTCAGTACATTTTCTTCTTTATAACGATCATTGTGCTGAAGGAAAAGAAGAGAATTGCAAGCAAAAGAAAAATGAGAAATTCATTGAAGCATTAATCTAAGGTGGTAATTTTTTTTTAACACTTTATTGTGGTTTGGGTGAAAATATGCAGAGCCAATTAATTTCCCATTCAATAAATTCCAAACATTTTGTTGCGTGACATTAGTTGCAATCGTCTCATTGTAACAACACTCTTGTCACTTCCTCCCCAGGTTTCCTGTTTCCATTCACCGATCTTTCTTGCCTTCTGTACTTTGTTATTTGGGCAAATGGCCCTTTCAGTTGATTGTTCTGAGAAGCATGTTCTTCACAAGTATTGTTATTGTTAAGTGCCCTTGAGTCAGCTCCAACTCTTAGCAATCTTACGTACAATAAAATGAAACACTGTGTGTTCCTGCACTGTACCCATAATCTTTGATGTGCTTGAGCCCTTGTTGCAGTGACAGTGTCAATCCACCTCGTTGAAAGTCTTCCCGTTTTTCGCTGACCCTCCACTTTGCCAGGTATGATATCCTTCTCCAGGGAATGGTTCCTTCTGACAACATGATCAAAGCAAGTGAGATGAAGTCTGGCCATTCTCGTGTCTAAGATGCATTCCGGCTGCACTTCTTCCAGGACAGATTTGTTTGTTCTTCTGGCAGTCCATAGTATTTTCAGTATTCTTCAGCAATACCACAATTCAGACATCAATTCTTCTTCCATCTACCTTATTCATTGTCTTGCTTTCACATGCATCTGGAGCTATTGAAAATGCCATGGCTAGAGTTAAATGCACCTTAGCTTTCAAAGTGATATCTTTGCACCTTAATACTTTAAAGAGGTCTCTTGCAGCACATTTGACAAGTGCATTACAACTTGATTTCTTGACTGCTGCTTCCACAGGCACTGATTGTGGATAGAAGTGAAATGAAATACCTGACCCTTTTCTCAATTTACCATGTTATCATTTATTCACTCAGTTATGAGGATTTTTGTTTTCTTTATGTTTAGGTGTAATCCATACTACAGATTGTATTTTCTGATCTTCATCAGTAAGTGCTTCAAGTCATCTTCACCTTCACCAAGTCACAGATAATTAATGAGTCTTCCTCAATCCTGATGTTGCATTCTTCTTCATATAATCCAGCTTCTCAGAGTAATTTGCTCAGCATACAGATTGAATAAGTACAGTGAAAGGATATAACTCTGATGTACAATATTTTCTGGATTTAAAACCATGCGGTATCCCTTTGTTCTGTTCGAACAACTTCCTTTTGGCCTATGTATAGGTTCCTCATGAGCACAATAAAGTGTTCTGGAATTTCCATTCTTCACAATATTATTCATAATTTGTTATGATCCAATACAGTTGAATGCCTTTGCATAGTCAATAAAACACAGATAAGCATATGATTTGATGACATCAAGAACATCATCCACAAGAAAGCAAAAGGCCATTAAAAAGACAGGAAAGGAAGAAAAAAACAAAATGGATGTTAGAAGAGACTCTGAAACTTGACCTTGAATGGAGAGTAGCTAAAGCAAATGAAATAATTGACAGGATAAAAGAGCTGAAGAGAAGACTTCAAAGAGTATCTCAAGAAGACAAAATCAATTAATATAATGAAATGTGAAAAGAGTTGGAGTTGGAAAACCTAAAGGGAAGAACATGCTCAGCATTTCTCAAGCAGAAAGAACTGAGGAAAAAATTTAAGCCTTGAATTGCAATATGGAAAGTTTCCAGAGGGAATATGTTGAATGATGCAGGAAACATGAAAAGAAGATGGATGGAATACAAAGAGTCACTACACCAAAAAGAATTAGTAGATGATCATCCATTTCAGGAGGTGGCATATGATCAAGAACCAATGGTATTGAAGGAAGAACTCAAAGCTGCACTGAAGACACTGATGAAAAACAAGGCTCTAGGAATTGGCAGAATTCCCATCAGATGCAACAAATGGATGCTGTGTTGGAGGCATTCACACAGCTATGACAAGAAATTTGGAAGAGAAAAGAAACATATTTGTACTCATTCCAAAGAAAGGTGATCCCATAGAATGCGGAAATTATTGAACCAATATCATTGGAATCACACACAAGCAAAATCTTACTGAAGATAACTCAAAAACAGTTGCAGCAGTATATTAACAGAACGTCGAGAAATGAAAGCTGGATTCAGAATGGGATGTGGAACAAGGGATATCATAGCTGATGTCAGAGGGATTTTGGTCAAAGTAAAGAATAAAAGAAAGATGTTTCCTTGTTTTTTTTTTTTTTTTTGACTATGCAAAGGCATTCAATTGCATGGATCATAACAAATTGTGGATAACATTGAGAAGAATGGGAATTCCAGAACACTCAATTGTACTCATGAGGAACTTGTACATAGATCAGAAGGCTGTCATTCTAACAGAACAAGGGGATACTGCATGGTTTAAAATCAGGAAGTGAGTGCATCAGGGTTGTATCCTTTCAGCATACCTATTCAATCTGCATGCTGAACAAGTGATCTGAGATACTGGACTGCATGAAGAAGAACATAGAATCAGAATTGGAGGAAGGCTCTAACAACCTGAGATACACAGATGACACAACTTTGCTTGCTGAAAGTGAGGATGACTTGGAGCACTTACTGATGAAGATTAAAGACTACAATCTGCAGTATGGATTACACCTCAATATAAAGTAAACAAAAGTCCTCACAATTGGACCAATAAGCAGCATCATGATAGATGGAGAAAAG